ATATACGAGAGAAGGATGGTGGTGGAAAAGAGAGCCGAACGAGCGATGGATAGAAAAGAGAGCGAATGAGACGGCGAATGTCACCGCTGCAAACCGAAATTACTGTGACGAAAGATTAATGATCCCATGTTTTATTGCACGTATTTATAGGTATACGTATTTCGATTCTCGAAATTTCTCGCAAAGTTTTAACTTTGCTTCGATATGGCATTCATCAAGATCGAAGATCTTGTTAATCTATCGCGCGATCAAAGCTTTACTATTAATAATTTAGTTCAATAGAAAATAGCTATAATTTTTTGATGCATATCTTTTTGATATAATGCGATTCTGTTTTTTTTTTTCAAATTTTGAAAAATTTGCGGTTAAAATTCCAAGAATTATTTAGTGTGATTTTATGGTTTTTTAATCAATGAAATTAAAGATAAATTGACATTTGGTTCAAAAAGATGAAAAAAAGGTTAACCCTTTTTTAGGTTTTTTATGTAATTTCTATAGAAAATATGCTGATTTAATAGTTTGTTACCTGAATACGAAAAAATCAATAAGAAAAATTTTTCCCAACTCTACATCTCTTTGTCAAATTATGATTTAGAAAAAAAAACTGGATATATATTTTTATAACAAAAGGACTTGACAATAGAATATAGAAAATAGAAAAAATCATTTTAAAATATTTAAAAAGATATTGATATCCCATCTGATTATGTAGAAAATTGATTCAGAAATAGAAAATTGATTTTCTAAACTTATTAATTTTCTTTAATATATTGTTTAGCATGATTTTTCATATGATTTTTTAATCAATGAAATCAATCTCGATTTTTATAAAAAAGTTATATGTTTTATTTAAGCAATATAAAAATGAACTTGAAATCTGGCTATTCTTTGCATATTGTATATTATTTATTGTATATTGTATATTAGTATTTATTGTATATTATTATTGTATATTATTGTATTTTATTAGGGCATTCTCTGAAATATGCAAGTACTATCTCCACTATCTTAGATATATTAACTTGATAGAATACGTACAACGAAGGTTTTTTTTAGATATACTTCATCATTTGATTTGAATCATCTATGAATATAAAGTTGTTCATTACTCACTCATACTACATCTTAATTTGTCCTGTTTGTGAGCTTATTGTCAATGTTGTCTTTTTTGTTTGATATTATTAGTGGCAATATTAATTATCTGTTTATTATCTTTTTTTAATTTTAATATAAGCCGCAAATCATTATCTCTATAAATTAGAATAAGATAAAATAGAAAATTTTGTAAAGATTAGAATATAGAGAAGTTTAGATATCAAAAATATCTTATTTTCATCGCCCGTGAACTTCTCGTATCTCTAATATTATATATGAACTTCTAGTATCTCTAATATTATATAAATATTTAATAGAAAAATAAGAGATAAGAGATTCTTGAATAATTTTAATCAAAATTCTTCTTTTATTTTTAACTCAACCCAACATCTATTTAATACTTTAAGTGATCGAATTAATCTCTTTTGAAACTATAATCTGTAATTTTCAAAACTGACCTGTTCTTTAAAATTTTTAACAATAAATGAGAAATCATTCACTGCCTATTTGAAGTATAAGAGAGTATAGGAGAAAATTCCTACAATCCATAAACGTGAAAAGGTTAAAAACAAAATTTCTATTCGGGCAAAGACCTCGCGTGCGATGCGATTAAAAGATTTCGCTAGAATCGAGAAAACACATCGCGAGAGACTGGGTTCGCGGGCGTTTCTTCGCCGATACATTATCGTATCGTACCCGCATACCCGATGGTACTCGTCGCATTAATTAACTCTAGTCCGAGCGTGCTTGCTCTACGATAAAAAAGACTGGCGGAATAAAAGAAAAAAAAAAGAACGCAACGTGCCTTCTTTAAATAAATCGCCGGGAGTGACGGATACGGGAAGGAAGATTAACGAGCACGATGTGTCGTTCGATTCGATACGTCGAATTAACGCGAGACAGAAACGAAGCTCCGCGTATCGGTTATTAATGACTTACGGGGTTCTGCCAATGTAAACGTTGGCGATGCCGCGCTTACTCGCCGCGTCGCTTTGAATTCGCTTAGAAACCTTGAATACATACCTTAAACGTCGCGTATAATGCGTGAATTGAACCGGTAATATGGTGGAAACGACGATTAATTGGCCATAATTGGATGTAGCGACGATGTTTTTAACCGCGTTATTAACTCATACATACATACAAGTTTAACGCCGAGAGGAGTCGTTCTCTTTAGAAGCGAGCATTTTCGAGAGACAACGCGCACGGATGTGTATATAATACATACATCCCGTTTCTTGAATACATTTAACGATTTCGCAACGCGGCGAATTTGTTTTCAGCGAACTAAATCGTTATTGCTCGACGGAGGTTAAACGAATTCCAGTCGCGCTCTCGTTGCGCGTATACACGCGTACAAACGGAGGGCGTGGGGATGAAAAAATCAACCACCGCCCTCCGTTCCCTGAGTGGCAGGTTCACTAATACGTACCCTCGCGTTCGCCTCTCCTGCGAGCAATATCGCCCCGGTTTCTCGCCGATGTACCGAGGTAGAGCAAGACAGAAACGGTAGGGTCGCCCGTTAACGATGATAGGGTAACTGGAGAGAGAAAGAGAAAGAGCGAGAGGGAAAACTCAAGCCCGTAATGTTGGGGGAGGATCCGGCTATCTTGTGCCAATCTTCGCGTTTCCTCGCACGCATATTATTTTCCCCCCTCGTTTAAGTACATCGATCCGTTTCGATTCTCGACACGACGGAAATACACCTTTCACCAAATGTCGCGCTCTCATTGTCTGAGTACTATGATGTAACTTTCAAAATTACATCCTTCCGCTTTGATTTCTCTCGTGAAGCGCACTTGTTTTCGCATGCTTCTCTTTTTTTCTCCTCGAGATGCCGGATGTTGCTGTAGCGAAAGAGAAAAAAATCGATGCCAAAGGGATGCGCGAAGGGAGGCGCGATGAAGGTGGAACGAGGGGAAGCAGCGAATCCCCGAGGTAATAGCGCGAAAGTTCCGACATCGTTAATCTTGCAGTTCGTAGGTCGACGGATAGACGTATGTATGTACGTGTCGGATAGCGTATACTCGTTGCTACGAGTACATCACGAGAGGCCACACCCCCGCGTGATCGACAGCACGGTGGTTACAAAACTCATCCCGATCGATCTTTACATATGTGTAAACGTCCATTCAACTCATCCCCTTGAATATTATCGAAATCATGGAACTCGACAGATTAATAGATTCTTAATGAATCATGAAAGATTAGAAAAATAAATATAGAAATAGCTCTTGAGAGAAAAAAAGTCCATATAATTAAATACGTTATTACATTTAACAAAAAAGTCTATGTATGATAATACCTATATATAATATATGAAAAGCAATTATTCGAAGGAAAGTAGCTCCTATTATTTTGCAATAAAATGAAAATAGAGTTTCCTTTTTTCAAATTTATCGAAACTATCGTCGTTAAATAAATTACATTACTAGATGAAACGACACTAAAATAGCAATATAACAAGATATAGATTCTTTAAATTCCTAGAAAAAGATTTCGGAAACTAATGGACTTTGGAAAATTGTAAGATTTTAAGAAAGACATTTTGTGTGATCAGTAAAGTTTTTTTCTTTACTTTAATCGCACACCCTTATCGTTATTTATCTTTATTTATCTTTATACTTTTATGCTTTCGTTTCCTTAAATTGATAAAATTATTTTTTTGAAGCCATAAATTAAAGAGATAATTATATCTAATTTACTAGTTTCGAAGAAGATTGAATTTTTTAGATAATAGAGATTTTTAGACAATAGAGATTTTTTACACACACACACACACACATTATATATATATATATATATATATATATATATATATACATATATATATACTTTTATAGTGAACAGGGTCGGATTTAAAGGTGTGGAGACCCTGGGGCAATGAAAAGGTGGAGACCCCTAACCATTTTTAAATCAAAATCAAATAGAAATTTTTACGTTGTTTAAATAATTTATTGTGAAATAACAAGGTCAAGCAATATACGTAGACCTTGTAAGTGTTGTATAACATTCGATAGGAAATTCTACCCAAAAATATGTGTTGTGGAGGATCTCCCTCTCCTCTTGTAGAGGCTCCTGGGCTTCAGTCCCTATTGTCCCCCCTCCTAAATCCGACCCTGATAGTGAAATATGTTTTAGATCAAATAATATATGTACTTTATCACATTAAATGGTCAATATTACTTGCTAGTATATAAGAAGAACGCAAATAAGGATCATCGAGCCATCTATCGGTATTTAAAGGAACGAAAGCGTTCGATTTGCACTTTTATATATAATTTTTTAATTATCAGAACGAACAAACAAAAATAAGAGATTACATCAAAATACATATGAGTATATAAAAGAGATTAGAGAACGATATTGTTTTGCAAGAGCATGGAAAAAAATGTTATATATCAAAAAGTATTGATGATTTAAATTTCCAGAGAAAAAAATTATATATGTAATCAAATATGTAAATTTATATATAAAATATGTCCACATTATAAAGACATAAAATTATATATACTCATATAATATTATGTAGAATTATATATACTCATATAATTATATGTAGAATATTTGTGTATATTATTTGATAATTCTATTTTTCTTAAAAAAAAGAAAAGAAATACAAAACTTATTTTGCAATTATTTTTCTATTATTCTTATTATTTTCTTTACATAAATAGATATAAAGAAAATATAAAAAAAGAAAAAAAATATACGTATATGGACATATTTCATATATAATATAACAGATATATTTATATAGGTGATTATATAGATTATTCTTGCAACAAAGTTGTAGTCGAAGAATAAATTACAACCAAAACAATAAACCGCGTATATGCATCGAATGAGTTTGAAAAATGTAAGGAGAGAAAGAGAGAGAGAGAGAAGGAGAATCGCATGAAACTCTTGATGCTGCAGTCATTGAAGTAGTGCGCATCTGTCGGTATCAGCTGTAGTGGCGTCACGTTGATAAACGACTCGGATAAAATTGATTATATTTTCCATTTCTTGAAAAAATAATTTTTTTCTACGGATGACCTTCCTAACAAGTTTGTAGTCAACGATTCAAGGCTTACAATTAAGTATAAGTTTACATTTTTTTAGACATTTTCTAAGAATCTGAAGCCGTTTATATAAGTTGGTTGTGATACCTGCATTGTCATTGTTAAGTTGCAAACAATACGATTTTACGGTCTTCCAAAAAGTACGTTGAGATTTAAAAGATAATAGAATGGTAAAAAGGGATTAGGCTACCGAAGAATCTTAAAAAGATGATAAAAGGACCTTAATCTAACAATTTCTTAAAATTGGATTCTAAACAACTCATACATTCCCGTACATATAATTGATGTATCTTACAATTAGCAGTCGCAATAATATATTGTAATGTAACAGACGACGTGGTACAAAACCACGTTATAATTATTCATGTGTTCCCTGCCCCGACAAGTGTATGACGAGGCAACGTCGTCGACGAGCTACGATAACGTGGTGGAACATACCGAATTGCCTCGACAAGGAAGCATGTCTTATTCGAGTGAACTGTCACGTTCCCAGGAATATCTGAGTTTTCGTAGCTCTGTACCGCTGAGAAAGATTGTCGTCGATGCCGATGGCGCCAAGGTATTATTTCATCAATGATAAAAGATTTTCGATAATTCATATCTAATTGTTTATCTTGTTTTGTTTCCATCATTGTCTTGAACATAGTAAAGATCTTTGTAATTTGATTTTCTGAATCTCAATTGTTTCAGGGATGGAAGGTGTATGATTCCAATCCAAAAACTATCAAGTGCCCGCTCATATGTCTTCCACCAGTCTGTGGTACCGCTGATATTTTTTTTAGGCAAATATTAGGACTGGCTGCAAAAGGTTATAGAGTTATATCAGTGAGTTGGATATAAAGTCCTGAAGCAAATTTAAATGTATATGCAAAGTAGCATAAAAGATCTTGCTTACATCATATTGATGCAACAGTTGATCTTTAACAGTTGATCCAGGAAGTTCACCTTTATAGGCTGAGCCACCAGTATATTGGAGTATAAAGGAATGGTGCGATGGATTCAGAAAACTGTTGGATTACTTGGAACTTGATAAGGTCCACCTTTTTGGTGCTTCGTTAGGTTAGAATTATAAGCAAAGTATTCACTTTTAAATTCATATGTAATCTTATGAATAAAGTGCATGAAAATATATAAATTTTATATTTGCAGGTGGTTTTCTGGCACAGAAGTTCACAGAAATAAATGCACACTGCCCTCGAGTAGTATCTTTAGTTCTATGCAATACTTTTACAGATACATCTGTATTTAGTTACAATGATTCCGCAGCAGTGTAAGTCAGTTATAGTTCATTACAAGTTATAGTTCATTACAAAGTAATTTACTCAATTAATTTTACATATCGAGATTCTTGGTTATTATTATAATAATTATTTATTGTTTGTAGTTTTTGGATTCTACCATCAATGGTACTAAAGAAAATGGTTATGGGAAATTTTGCAACAGAGAAGGTTGATGGAGAGATGATAGAGGCAATCGATTTTATGGTGGAACGGGTATAAATCTTTACTTTTTTCAAAAATTGATGAAAACTAAGAGAAACATATTCAGAATGTTTTGTTTAAAAAATTATTTTTAATCCTATTTATATATTTTTTTCAAAATTTTTTATAATTTTTAGCTGGAGAGCTTAACGCAACCTGAATTAGCATCTCGTTTAACAATGAATTGCATAAATTGTTATGTACAACCTCAAAAGATATGTCATTTACCAATAACGATAATAGATGTATTTGATGAATATGCTTTATCAAATGCTGTTAGGGAAGAAATGTACAAATGCTATCCGAATGCAAAATTAGCACATTTGAAAAGCGGTGGGAATTTTCCATACTTGAGTCGATCTGCCGAAGTTAATTTGCATTTACAGGTAATTTATAAATATAATTGTGATTAAAAATAGAATTTTTTTTATCGATGATTGATAAAATAACAGAATTTGTTTTCAGATACATTTAAGACAGTTTGAAGACACTGAATATGCAGCCTCAGAAAAAACTAAAACTTAGCATAATACATTTTTGTTAGGAAAAATTAAACAAAAATGGATTCTGCTATTCATAAACAGATATTGAAAATATGAATATCTGAGCCATTTATATATATATATCGAGTTAAAGATACAATTTAGTTGACATCTTTCAATTTAGTTCTTAATAAAGCAATAATTTGTTACATCCAAATACTGTATAATATAAATTATATGATATATAGCGCTGTTTATGAATCCACTATGTCAAACACATTTAGTTCCTGGAATATAAAAAGCATTTATATTTTATAATATTTTGATTTTCTTTTATCTGTAAAGAAAATGAATATTCCATTATTTATTATCAAAAGCGAAAAAATATACTCTTCAAAATATACTCTACATACAAATTTCTTTTTGTAGATATAAATAATTCTAATTAAATCTAATTACTAAATATTTTCAAAAACCTATTTTCTTAAATGTTTATTACGATGAGGATTCATAAATGAATATTTTGATAAAATTTTATACATATATATATATATATAATATATATATATATATATATATATATATATATTTCTATACAATATTTATATGAATTTATTTAGATGTATAATTTATTTTATTTTATCTGTTTTTCTATTATTTGCTTGAGAATTAGTAGTACATATTTTCAAGTAGCACACAGTTATGGTGTGCAGAGTGAGAAGTTGACCATAGTTAGCTAGGTCGCCTGACCGGGAGACCGTATAAGAACTCGCTTGATATCGATTCCTTCATGTGTGCTCGTTCGCATTTCTCTTTTGCAATCTCATATTACAGGGTCTGTTTTGCTCAGTATACGTGTACGACATTGTCGTATTAGGTTCTATTTAATTTTTCTTTTCTCCGTTGATTTTTGAACATTTTAATTGATTATAATTATATATATGTAATTTTAAATCATTGATATATTAAAGATATAGTTATAATTTTGTAAGATTGTATTTCTCTGAAAAAAGATTTTTTAATTACATAGAGAATTTTATTGAAATACTCAAATTAACGCTAAATTATTCGCTTGTTAAATTTGTTAATACTAAATTTGCTCATATTTATAAACATTATGAATATTATCTGCTATCTTTTGCGTAAGAAAAGTGAAAAATAGTTTATTAAAGAGTAATAGGAATTTTGATTTGTTTGACATGTAAGTGAGATTTACATGCCGATAAGATTATCGTTATCGCATTCACCGATATTCCCATAAGTAATCTTCCTGGTGAATTAATATAATCCCTCTCTGGTAAAGAACGACACATGTGTATAATGTATGTTTCAAAGCTCAGTCTCTTACCTGCATGCAACGCAGCCAGTATTCGAACGATAGTGTATCCGTCGTGACGATAAAGTGAAATCTTCTTATCCTCTAAAAATAACGTTTAAACGCACGTTTCAAAGCATTAATATTGCTCGGAATGATAAATCACGTAAACTATAATTTGATTACTTTTTTGACAGGTTTTTGAAAACTCTTTTTCATTGTCAGTTGTAAAATGAGACACATATTGGCAAGGTGTTTTGTGCGCTTTCATATATCTCGTGTAACTTGTATTTAAAATTTTTATTTTTTAAATTAAAAAAAAGATTTCCAAGGTTTCTCTCTCTATCTCTCTCTTTTCATCGATTGTGTATAACCATGCGATAGGGTCTTCTATAAAATATTAAATTGATTTTTATGCATTGCAAGATGCACGTGTGCGTACGTATATTTTGTTTTAATAATTTTTTGCTAGAATTTTTATTGTGATTTTTCCTGTAATCGTGTCATCCTTAATGAGTCATACGTTGAACGATTGAATCAATGCGGTCGCATTATTCGCATTATTCGCGATAAGACATGCTATTATCGATATATGATCTATATCTAATCTCTCGTTTGATATTACGATACGTTGATGCATGCTTTTCGTAAATCAATATCCATAATTCTATTAGTAATCCTTATCCATAATTCACGCAACCGTCTTAACGAGAAATTATCCTAAAGGGAAATAGCTTACAGCAAAATTTAATCAAGTGAAAGGAACGCCGACCACAGGTTTACCTTAGAAACAGAACGCCATCGCTAGATATTTATTTTTGTTATTTTACAAATTTAATTTTTTACTATTTAAATTTCAACATTTTTCCTAAGATATCTACGCATATTTCATCAGAAATGTTTCTTTCACAGAATCTCTTGTTAGATTTTAATTTCCATTTTAATCCATTAATTTCCATTTTAATCCATTAATTTCCATTTTAATTTTTTTACTTAATAAACTTTATTTTCTTACAGATATTACTTTTCGGAAGTACAACAAACCGGAATAATATCAGGATGGATTCACCGGAATCTTGAAAGTTTTCTTCTCTTCATCCTGGAAAATATTCAGTCTTAAAGAAAATGGATAATGCCAGCGAGCGAACGCGTCTCGTGGACAGCGGAAGAATAGCGACGTCCACGAAACTCGCTTACGCTCTTGGACATGTTTTCAACGATCTAGCAGCCGCCATGTGGTTCTCCTACACTTTAATTTATCTTCAACGAGTGACATTATTAGAGCCCGTCGTCGCCGGTGCGCTTTTGCTTCTAGGTACGCGTGCAATTCAATTATACGTGTGGACGACGTTATCTTCAATAGTTGATTAATGTCGAAACGATTTTTATTCAAGGACAAATCATCGATGCGATTGCAACGCCTGTGTTTGGATTCCTGGTCGATCGTTACTGCAAAAAGAAATTCTGGCATGTTTTCGGTTCTATCATGGTCACTCTGTCCTTTCCCGTAATATTCGGCGATTTCGCCCATTCGTCTTCTACGATGTCCATGTTTTTATATATAACGAGTATTACAATATTTCAAACGGGCTGGGCGGCCGTACAGATCTCTCATCTGTCAATGATTCCCTCGTTAACTAATTCTCTCTTGGCTCGAGCCGATTTGACCGCAATAAGGTATGTGAATTGTAACAAGGTTCTTTTTCTCTCTCCCTCTCTGTCCGAGTTATATCAAGATATAAATTTAATTACAGATACTCCGCCCAAGTTAGTGCGGCCATGGTAGTTTTTATAGTTACGTGGATAGTTTTACCGACTAGTGGAGAATCGGTTCAATTGAATCAGCTGGACGATTATAAATTCAGAGTACGTATAAAGAAACTGCGCGTTAAAAAAAATTATAATAGCTAACGAGAGAAAACATCTGATAACATTCACTTTATAATTTACAGAATATCGTCCTGGTTCTTACGACTCTCGGTCTGACCGCGACCGTTTTCTTTCACATTTTTCTAAAAGCGAATCTCTTGGAACGAGCAACATCCTCTAAAACAAACATCGAGGAAGCGATTAGGTCGTCGAACCGTCGAATATCATGGCTCGATATCACGATCTTGTTGAGAGTCGCGATGCTCTACGTAGCGAGCAGATTGTTTATCACTCTCAGCACGGTGTACTTGCCATTGTATATAGAGGAGACCGAAATCGGCGGCAAACAGGCGTTAGCTACTGTGCCATTGGTCTCATATGTATCCTCGTTTGTGGCCGCTTTGTTACTTAAATACATCAACAGAAGTTGCGGTACCAAGGTAAGTCTTTGATGATACTCTCTTAAATGAATTCAGTGTATTGTCATTGATAAGTATTTTCGATTATGGTACTGTAAATCTCATTAAACAAAAATTAGTTGATGATAATCTTTCAATCAGAGATATTTTAAAAGATTTTTTAAAAAAAGCAAATTACTCTTTTAATTATTTTAGTAATTCTTCTTACTATTTTTTCTATATATACAAATAAATAAAATATAAAAGCCTAATGGAAAACAGACAACTAAGAGCTTAATATAGTTAATGATGAGCGAATAAAGAAATCAGAATTTTCTATAAAAATAAATTTCATAATATTTTTAATTTAAATTAATTTTTAATTAATTAGTTTAAATTTATTTTTCATACATTGTTATCTGCGCTAAGTTCTTAATCGTCTATTTATATGTTTTTATATTATTTATTTGCGTTTTTTAATTTAATTTTTATTGCTTTCCATGCATATCCATATATATGTATATGGATATATACATATTTAATTTATATTATATATTTAATAAATTTTTCCACATCTCTAATACTATACATGTATGAGGTAAATTTGAGCGATTTTCATTAAAGAAATATCCAAGCATCTTGTTCATTTTTTCTGCGCTTATCATATTTTAATTTCAAAAGGCACATTCTAATTATAAATTTGAATATTAGTAATTTGCAATTTTCCTATTGTTGCAATTTTCCTGTTGTAATCAGCGATTAGCGTCGATCACATAAGCTAGAGAGGCAAAGTATAGATAAAAATTCACCAAAGAGCGAGTATTTCATTGATTCTTCGTCACTATTTCATCAATGACATTTTCACTGATTCAGAGTTTAAAAGAGGAAGAGGAGAAAAATATGAAAAAAAAAGACAAGCGTGTATTCATATTCTCGTTTCGCCGAATCGAAAATAGGTGTGCTATTTTCTCGGCGCTACGGTTGGCTTGGTGGCGGCAATCGTTACGGAATTTATCGCGGGCAACACGACGGTCGTGTACGTCATCGCTGTGTTAATTGGCGCGGGAAGCTCCATTACGATGGTCACCGCATTGAGCGTCACCGCCGAATTAATCGGCTCCAGAACGGAACGTAGCGCGTTAGTGTATTCCATCGTCACGTTCCTCGATAAAATCATCACCGGCCTCGTCGTTATATTCATCGAGAAGTGGTGAGTGATATAAATATCGCTATGCGGAATGAATTTTATTTAATTACACAAGTAGCAATTTTTGCATCTCGATATACGATATCGCGATGTGGAGATGTAAATTAAATTTACTCTGCGAAAAATTTATTTTTAACGACCGTTCGATCTCTCGTAAACGGCAATTTGAATATCGGATATTGCGTTATTATTCCATCGTACCTTTATGCATTTTTCAATATTCCGCTTTCATTTTTTTCAGGAGATGCAACGACAAGGAAATCTGTTTCAATTATAATCGGGACACATTGTCCATCGTGTGCGCTTCCTCGATGTTATTGGGACTCGTAACTTTGATATCTGTATCGCGTTGTCTAACTTGAGACACAATGACGAATAATGCCTTTCGCATTATATCTTTGTATAGATTTTAATTTATAGCGACAAACGACATAAAAACATCGATGACGCTGACTTTTTATATTTATAATGCCGTCTCTCTTATATAAAAAAATCTCAACAAACAAAACAACCCATCTTTCTTACACCTTTGTTCATACTCGTCATCTTACGTCAAAGTCAGAAGAGAGCGAGAAATTAAAAAAAATTTATATATATAAATTTATATTTATATATATTACAAATTTATTTCTTCATTTCGTATAATTTAATTATATAATAATATTAAATATTTATTATATATAGTATATTAAATATTATTTATAAATTAAATTAATATATATAATATATTAAATATAATAATATTTAATTTAATAATAACGTCCTCTTTAATAATAATCGCTCATTTTTCAGATTTTGAGATCAACCGTCGTTAAGTTATCATTCGCTTTCGCAAGTAACAATTTAATACAACCGTACCAGATGTCGCCAGACGTACGATTGGACGTTTCTCGAACATACGGAGAAAAGGCGCGTCGCCATCCCGACGATGGCGCGAGAGTCAGAGTGCGATGACCCGCTTCGTTCGCGCGTTACATACCGTGCTGGCTCGTCGCGGTTGCGTCGTAGTACGTCAAGGCGGAGAGACACATTCGCTTTATCGCGCGTACATACGGAGGGGCAGCGGGGGAAGCAGAGGGAGGAGGGAGAGCGTAGACGGGGCGGCGAGTCACTGCGCAGACGCTTATTTTGCTCGGCCGGCGTGGGGGCGGCGGCGGAGGGGGGGGAGGTCGCGCGATCGCACGTTCACGGGGCATGGCGTGGTGCGCGTTCTAGTAAACAAAGTTGTGTGCGTCGAGTCGCGCGGGGAATCTCGCGCGCCCCGAACGAGCGATCGCGTTTACCGTGTGTTTGTACGAGACGCGGCCGTTGCGTCGCGTCGCGTCGCGTCGTATCGTCGTCGTCCTCGTCGTTAAAGATCCCGTCGGGGCTGCTCCGGTGAGAGAAACTCTGGCCGTGGATAAATAAACGATAATTAGCTCGGATATACGAGCCGACTCGACACCATTGTGTTACGTGGGTGTACGTGTGTTGTCTCTCGTTTGAGAAAAGTGTTTACAGTGCTCGTCGTACCGGATCTCTCTCTTTCTCTCCGCCGAGAAGCGCACAACGGCGACTTTCGATCCGAGGCGAGACGAGGGAGTCGTCGACGAGACGGAGGTGATGACTTCGAGGCACGTTCGACGGAGTTCCCGAGCGGACGCCGCGTTTCAGGTGAGTGCCTATCTCTTTCTCTCTGCTTTCTCCTTCGCCTTGATCGTCTCGCTCGTTGTTTTTTCCCTTCTCTTCGCCGCACGCGCGCCAGACGACACGCGTCTCTTTTACGTGCGACGTATTTGGCGTTTCCGATTCGGTTATTATCGCCCGATATATAGCATCTCGCGCGTCGCAAAAACGTCCGAGCGCATTTTCGACTTTCGTTTCGACCGCGAAGGTGTCTCCTCTCTTCCCCTCTCTATTTTTCACATAAGGAGAGTTGCTTCGAGTCGCCCTTTTTTCGTCCTTGAGAGAAATGCGACCGATCGAAAGGACAAGGAGGAGGAGGTTAGGGAAAAGGTACGCGCAGGTAACGCGAAATTTTTTTCGGGCCGTCGCGTCATTCCTGGGCGTTTCTTTCTTCTCGCCTTCCAGACTCCGCGTCGCGGAACTCGCGAGGATGCTTTCCGCAGGAAACGCGCGCGTATCAATGGCCTCCGAACGCGCCGTATAAATTATTCGCGAGAGGAGCGAGACTGGTCGAAAAGAGAAAGAGCGAGACGGAGAAGGCGGGGCGGAGAAAGAGCGGAGCGAGAAGAGAGGAAGCGAAACGGCTCCGTGCAAGAGGCGGCGGCGATTTTTTTCGTGGAAGCGGGATACCATTTTTCTATTTTTTTTTCTTGCAAATCTTACAATTAGGCGCCCGCGCGCGCGCGCGCTATGTCGTTTTCGCTCGGATAAGAATCGACGAGTGTCGATAAGGGACGGCGTGGCGACGGTTTAGGTCGCGATATTTCTCTCTTTAGTCACTGACCTCGCGGCCACTCGGCTAACCTCGTTCGCCGCCGCCGCGCCGTCGCGTCGCGAGAGCGAACGTCGCGACGACGTTGCTCCGTATTCGGCGGAGAGAGAGAAAGAGAAAGAGAGAGAAGGAGGAAGACCACGCGCGATCGTGGACCGTGGGTTTCGGCACGTCCCGACTCGCCGAGAGAGGCTCGATTTCAGCTCGCGTCAAAGCATTCTTTACCAAGAGAGAAAGATAGAGAGAGAAAGAGCCCAGAAAGAGTCCTCTCCCTCTCTCTCTCTCTCTCTCTCTCTCTCTCTCTCTCTCTAGCGTCGTTATCGTAAATATATATTGTCCTTCGTGCGAGTCTCCCCCGGCTCTCTATTATTCTCGATTTACGACTTGTCTTCGCTTCGGGACAAACAAACGCATCTCTCGTCTTTCCGTTCTTTTTCGAAAAACGCAGATGTTACATCTCCCGGTAAATCGATATTTACGGATACTCTCGTCAGACGCGCGCTTAAAAGATTACACGTTAGTGATTTTGATTTTGATTCGAGTTTAATGCGCATTGCCATTTTCGTCGGACGCGACTCGAGAAAGGGACGCTCGTTATTATTACAGCCCCTTTCTCCGCATCGCTCGAAAATGGAGGCCGTTCCTTTCCACGATTACTTCCGAGTCGGCGAACGATGCGACGACACGAGAGTATCGATCGAACATCCTATTCGTTGATTTCAAATAAGATACGTTTGATTGATAGTAACGACTCCCGTACTATTGAATTAAAAATTGAGAGAGATATATGATTCGTTAGGGAGAGGAAAAAAAACTTACGCAGACAGATTAATTCCGAGGGAATCGCGATTCTTTCGATGACCGATGGGAACCGATTAGGATTGCATTCGGAATGGATTCCCACGGCGTTCTTTCGCGCTTTGTCGAATACGCACCTTTTTTTACTTAAACCGGCGGTGTGGAAAATAACGCGGAACCGCGCGAGTAACGATGACGTTTACGACATCGTAGACATCGGGCGGAGGTTGTTGTCTGAGGTATGCCTTAACTGATGCGAAATACGTAAAAAGCTTGTTGGACGTTTAGCCTTGGAAATATTCGTAAAAATATTATTGGATTATTGACGGCTGACATTAACGACAGGTAATAATGTCCCGTAGTACCTTGTCGTTCTTATAAGCGTCAGCGGTGCGTTTATTCTTTGTCTGTCGTCGCAAATCACAAAAGGACGCCAATGATATTTTTTTTTGGAACTGTTAGAGAGGCACTTTATTTCTGACAAAAAATGAATCCATTATGCAGATGTGCTAGGCAATTTTCCAAGATAGCGTATGATAAGCTGCCTCGGAAATTATCAGTGTCTTATAATAAAAACGTGTATTTACTGTTATTTTAGCCGTGTGCTTTTATCAGTAAAAATCAAATTTACAAATTTGCAACCATTAGAAATATATTTTTTCATAAAATTATATACAATTTATGTAAAATATGTTCTAGTTGATTACGCGAAAAAGTTTGAAGTTTCCATCTTTCGAAAGTTCACAAAATCCTAAGGCTTAAGTTAATCTAAAAACCTAAGGTATAGAATAATAAAAGAAATAATTTCTTTTTTAAAAATAAGTCGGAAACGTAATTTTTTTTTTCAGACGGGGGTTTGTATTCAAAACTTAACTTTATAATTAATAACACATAAAGTTTGAACAAGCTTTACAACTCTTTCAACTATTACTAATATATTTGTATACACAGAATACTGCTACTTATAATAAAACAATGTTTAAAAGATGAGTTATTAGAAAGAAATCTCTCTCTTTCTTTCTCTACCTAAAAAATATCGAGAAAAAATTTAATTTTTTTTTTAATAGAAAGAAACTGTTATATCTCGTTTTAAAAATATTTTAATAAAAACCATTATCGCGAGAGAAATTCGATGATCAAAAATCCATCCTCAAACAGTATCTTCCCCGATCCATTTTCTAAATTCTCCGTCTGCGTGTCGATTGAGAGCTTCAAGTTGATTCGAAAACAAGAGATTTTAATTACTTATACTCGAAGATATATTATTGTCGTCTGTTATTTTCGCTTGACAATACTAATCGGACTACCGACATCTAACAGCCGACTCTGCTCGCTGTATCGTAATTGGATAGCCTGCTCGCTCCCCGAGCGAAAGAGTACTACGCCAACGATGGCACGGAATGTCACCGCTGCTGTTGCGCTATTAACACGTACCAAGGGCACATGCGCCCAACCGGACGATTGGACGGCATTGTTGCGCTAAAGAGAACCCGTGATTCCGAATCTGGTTGCGTCATCATATTTTTACGATACAAGACGCGAAAAATTGCACGAAATTGCACCTCGAGTCCGAGGTTGTCGGAAGCGTCGCGTAAAAATCTCAACGACTCGAGAATAATCGATAAAATTTTATATCATGCGAAATAAACGATTCTTCCCCGCATTCAGCGGCTAATATTCCTCCGATTGGAATTTTAATTTCGCGAGAGATGATTTTTCGAGATTGTCATCGAAGATGATTGGAGCGAAGAAACCGTACTTTCATGGCGTGCATTCTCGCGCTGCTTATTATCATACCTGTGCTGTTGTATACGTTTTTTCATATATTGCTTTTTTAAAATGTAAAACCATCGCGTCATCGCGCAACTGCGTACCTCGTTAATTATACTATTATCATAACTATTTTTTTAAATCATAATTATAGGTTGCGTGTATCCTTGATTATTTTTTACGAGATTTTTCTTTAATCGAAAAATGCACGGACAATTGTCTTCCATTTTTTTTTCGATAGAGAAGATTCAAGTCTATCTATAAAGATACTCTCTTGTATGTATATAAATGTATGTAGAAGACAATGGGTCGTGCATAGCACGTATATAACGGTTAATTAGAAATTGAATCTTAATTCGCTCGCTAATTCGTTAATTGCCTTTATATATATTGCTCTCGAGTTATAAATTATATTATACATTGTGTGCGACAATCTCGTTCTTAGAAATTGCTCTGGTTACGATAATTAATAATGCATGCACGGTGGCATGATTACAATGAAGCGATTAACAG